AATGTAATTTTACATGGGTTTGCCACATTAACTAGAATGTTTTCATTGATTTTAGACTATATTTATTTTATTTGTAATTAAAATGCAGCAATTGGAACCAGTGATGATAATTAGCACAGTTTTCATTGTCATATATCTTCGCGCGTTTAAAATTAGATCATAAGCAAAAAATTATATTAGAGCTTGAAGAATTACTTACTCAAATATGTGACTTTTAATATTATTATGATTATTAATACAAATCGCAGCAATGTATGCCTCTAATTAACGCCAAGATCACGAGAATACTCTATTTAATCATAATAGTCTTTCCAGAAAGGTATAATTCTGTTTTCTTTTTAGCATATGAAAAACTCTGACATAGTTATCAAGATAGACAAACAGTTAAACGCTGGATGGATGTAATATGAAGTCCTACGCGTCACGCGGTGCTATAAAAACACACACTTCAGCTGTCTGACTCGGATTCCGTCTTGGGTTGTTGCCGTGAGAGGAGCGTTTATTAGTTTATGTGTTTCGTGGACATATTGTAAAAATTGGAATTATTCTCTTATTATTGTGCTGGGATAATTGTCATTATTTCCCATGACAATTATCTGAGCGAGAAAAAAGCAGCGAGAACGCACAGATATCAGCACTGATTTTTTCAACAACTACGAATATCAGCCTGGATCGAACAGTATGTCACAAAATAAAGTTTCCGATAACAACTTTTCTAAGTAAAGAATTACGATGTGAGACACATCTTGAGTCATGAAAGAATCCGAAATTAAGACCTCTATCGAGAAATTAAATCCAAAATAGAGGTAAGTTTCGGTTTCGCTCCAGAATTAAAACGCCCATCCTTCCGTAAATAATACGCTAAACACCGTTCTTGTTTTCAGGTTAAAGAGGTGACCTGCGCTCATAAAACATTAGCTTCCTCGTATTACCAGAAATAATTTATGTCGCTCACTGAAGCCAGCACACTAGAGAGGCTCAACAGCGGCACGCATCTCTGACCCTCACTAAACCCGCCATCTTGGAAAATGAGTGGCGCCACCTATAGTTAGTTGGAGTCGCGGCTCTGTCCAGGGAGAGTCGCAAAATGGGGGGAGGCACTCACTTGATCGAATGACGTTTTAGCGAACGCCCACGTTTCACCAAATGACACTTTAGCAAATAGTCGGACGCCGCGACGCGGCGTTTTCGGGGGGGCCAAATGGCTTCACATTTTCGTAATGAGCCGCCGCAGACTGTCGCCGCGAAGCGGCGTCAGCGCAGCGCGGCGGATGGGTTCACGCGCGCCCCCGTTATTCGCTAAAACGTCGATTCGCTCAAATGTCGCTGTTCGCTAAAATGTCATTCGCTCATGTGATATGGACCCCAAAACGGGACATGTCAGGACTTGCTTCATGCAGATACCGTGCCGACCGCAAAATCACGAAATAAATACACAAAACAAATTCGAACGCCGTCGAAACATAGGTCAAAGCTAAAACGCTGAGAGCGTGAAAGAAGAAACGCGGATTCACGCGTACCAAAAAAAAAAAAAAAAAAAAAAAAGAACAGGAAAAAAAAATGCGTTGGGACGCTAGGTATTTTGGTGTCACAACGCAGAGATAAGAATAGCGCACTCTAGCAGGGGTGTCATTAATTCGGCACGTTCGATTGTCTCAATCGCGGCAATGTTTCTTCAGGGTCATTGTTATAACTTTGTGATTTCCTACATTTTGATATATTCATATTTTGTATATCTTGTATCTCTGTGCAGCACTTTTCCACCATTGTTTTCCTGTTCTATGTGCAACTATTGTTTTGTGTAGCGTTATTTATCTTTACCGCCCACCCTGCTTGGACCACGAAAAGTCCGCAGTATGTAGTAAATAAATAAAAAAAAGAACTACACACAAAAATAAAATCTCAGTGAAAATGCTATAAGTTGTGCGAGGCCCAGTTAGGTGAGTTTGTAATACCCGAAATGAGGGCACCACAACTTGTTCAAGGCTTCAGCGCAGGATCTCTTTCTCGAGTTAAAAGTAAGCAGATTCCGTTTTGCTTATTAATCTTGTTTTTCTTCTTTTCTTTAACGTCGCATTTTGGGCGGTTAAGAAATAGAAATACCTCGCCGGCAAAGCTCATTCACGCAGGACACTCTTGGCACTCAAACAAAAACGGCGTCGGGTACGGTATGTCAGGATCCATGGCGTCGGCGCGACCGATCCCTTTTTTTACAGATATTGGCTGGACCAAAATGGTAACGGCACAATCTTTCAGATTTGATCCTATATCGGCGAAATACTGTGTGCTGCCTGGGGCTGTATATTTACACGTCTTCGTTCATCTTTTGCGTGTGGAGATGGTTTTTTTTTTTAATTGAAGCTGAACTGATAAAATTGATGCACGCGCGACACGTAATTTTCGGCTGGTGTCGGACGGTGAGTTCGATCGGAGTTGCAAAAATATTCTCTAGCACCTTCTAATCATACGCGACCTCGTGTGGCGATTAATTATACTGGATGTTTGTTACCGGGGGTAAATCAGCAACAGTTACACCGAAGCAATAAACATCAACGGATGTGAAATCATGCGGGTATTTGACTGCATCACCATAACGCCCCTTTCACACCATGTGAATGAAAGGTGGAAAATTCAACCTTACACCCTTTTTACACGATTTCAAACACCATCGCTACAAGAGGGGCGTAAAAAGGGCGTGTAAGGGGTGTAAAACCTCAGCACACCCTTTTTACACCCACCGATATTCATAAATCGTGTAAAAAAAGTGTAAACAGGGTGTTTTTCCTAACTTACACCCTTCTTACACCACTTTTACTCGATTACGGGTGTTATAATATTTAGTGTGAGGCTGTACCCTGCTGAAATGCGTTTCTCGTAATGCAGCTCTCGAGCGTGTGCAAAAGAAGTCGCTCCTTTTAGCTGGAAATTACTCGAAAACCGCCGGTAGCTTCGAGCAAACGTTTGTCATTTCGCGTATACACAACTGCGACGGCCACCGTTCGAACACGGAGCGCTCCGAAGAGAAGGAGGCAGATTTTGCCGCTGAAGCGGCATCTGGGTCCACACATATTGGCGGATTCGATGGATCGGTGATGCGGCTGCGGGTCGTTCCCTCGGAGGCGATGCCCTCGAGTCGAAAGCAAACGGCGAATCGTTCGAAATGCATGTAATATTTCTAAATCGTCACTTGACTCGGACCGGCCTGGTGAATCGTAGCCACGCTCCATTTTCTCACGCGGGTCAAACGCAATCGGGCTGCACGCGTGCTAAATATAACTTGGCATCGTTTCAAGATGGCCGAGCTTTTGGTTTCGGTTTCGATGCATAATCAAATCGCTTGACTTGATTTGGGCGAGGAGTGGGTGGATGGAGTCGAATATCGTTGGCGCAGCATCACGCCTCAGCTTACGAGCCCTCTGTCAGTTTAAAACTCAGCTCGTAGCTCTTCTTGATGAAATGATTGGTGCATAAGCGGGATCGTGATCTTGACGGGGACCCGGTGCTCTCTACGCTGTGATTGCCTAAAGCTGAGCAGGTTGGTTATTCATACTAGTAATCATACCAGCTAGGTCGCTCCCTAGCTGGCGTATCCTACTAGTATGCTCTCTACGCACGGCGACGATCCATTTTGCTCGGGAAGGCACATCTCGCGGATCGCAGATGCTGCCCGGTCGTTCGGGGCGGGTCCAGAACTCCCTTGGGAGAGGGGGGGGGGGGGGGGGGGGGCGAAAGGGGGGGGGGAATCTAAAGTAGCATTAACAGGACTCTCGTTGCGCCTTTTACTTTGGCCGCCACAGAACCACACTGCGCCGACTTTTTGCCTCCAAGCCGTGCATTGAAACCGCCGCCGCGGACTTCAGTCTCTGTTGAAGCGACGGAGTGGTTCTTCAAGTTCAGAGTACAAGTTTGCCTGCTAGGGTGCGACCTACCCTATCTTGAACCCTTGTCCTTGAGTACCGAGCCTTCTACCACCTGGCAGGCTGGTAGTCGGTTTTATTTCCGGGGGTGGAGGGGGGGGGGGGGGGGTAAAGGGGTCCACCCATGTCAAATTGCTTTCCGAGTAGGGGGGAAAGGGGGGGGGGGTCGGCTTTGCTAGGGGGGGGGGCCGCCCCGTCGCCCCCCCCCCCCCCCCCACCGCCCTCCCCTTGGATCCGCCCCTGTCGTTGTGGCACCCAACCACGCAACAAAAATCTCACCCATCCATGAAACAAGACGAGCACAACAAAAAGGAAGCACTTTGCGGCAGCGGCGTCACTAATGTCCGCGGCACCCAAGGTGGTGGCCCGTCCCTCCTCCCCCTCCTCCACCCCCCCCCTCCCCCCTTTCACTGCCCTGCTGTACCCCCTTGAGCACTGCACCACCCGCGTCGGCCTGCCTCCCCCCTCCCCCCCTTAGTGACGCCACTGCACTTGCGGGCAAACTGAGACGGAAATGCTCGCTTTGCGTCATGTGACGACAGAGTTTCAGTATTGCCAGAAAAGGCGCCCTTTACCCTAGAATGCGATTGGAGCAGCTCAAAATTCACTTACTCGTGCCGTGGGACATATAAAATGCATATATTCCACAGACGACGTAATATCGGACAGAAAATTTTACAAGACAATGCCTTGAATCTGGAACGAAGCATACTACATATATCTGGAATTTGAACGATAAAGTTTAGGAAAAAGTGTTACTAATCGTAATGCACACTCTTCGCCATTGTGAAACTATTGCGGAATCGGGCTTTTCGCTCGCGGCCCTATCTACAGAAATCCTTAGTTCAGCCCTATCTAATATCGCGTTCCTTCAGACATCGGCCGTCCGCACCTAATCAAGCGTTCCTTGATAAGAAGGAGAGAGCAATGTAGAAGTAGTGCAGAGCAAATATTTCACTATCGCTTCGCTTATCGCTCGTTATACGGGCGCTTCGCAGTAAGCTTCTGCGTCCTCGCGTGAACGTGTCGCGGCAGCTGGAAAGTTTCGGATTCGACGGAACTTGAAACTCGGTCTCGACTGACTTCTAGCTTATTTGAACCACCGAGTACACCTTTTGGGTAAGCGCTCTGCGACATTGATGCGACACGTGACAGGTGATTCAGTATCAACTTAGAGAATTTCGTTACACTAAACTACATTTCTCAGCGATTAGCAGTCGTTTCGTCCAGCGGACGTTTCATATTATAGTTTCCACGACGGCGTTTTTAGGCATGGTCCTGTTTCTGCTCTCACCTTGAGAGAGTGTGCTCAGGAGTGTCAGGCCGATGCGGCTGGTAGGAATAAACGAGAGGATGAGGATCAGGGCAGGTTTGCTTTTCGATCTTAGTTTTTTAGCGCTCGCTTAACAAGCGACGTTTGTGCTACTTTAGGAACTGAGAGAACGATGCTTCGACCACGTTTTCGACCCGTGTGTTTACCGCGTCTACGAAACCTTGTCCTTCAATCTGCGTCTGATGATATCACAGAAGTGTCAAGCCCGCCGGCATCCTGGGGGTGTCGCATCAGCGGTGATGGATGTGGCCAGTTCTGTTGCCGGTCGCCCATCAGTTTGACAGTCCAATGAAGCTTCAGCAGCCAGGAGTTGGGACTCCAGGATGATAGACACACACCCGTTCAGTCGTACTTTTTGGCGAGGTTTCTAGCGCCAACCGCCAGGATTGCGACATCCGACAGCCCGGAACGACGTCTACTGTGACGTCATCTGTTGGCACACCAGGACCTCCTTTGATGTATTGGCGGCATAGGACGATAAACACACCAGTCCAATATGTGTTCCAGGAGCTGTCCTGGTACAGTGCTCAACGAAACGAAATGGACCAGTGGAGCTCGTGGCCTCTCGTACCTGTGGCGCCATCTGGCAGACGCCGTGCTATCCGGTGCTGCAAGTCGCAGACGCGCACAGCTGAGCCAAAAACTCAGTGGCTGTTCATGATCGGTGCCCTACCACGGAGAGCTGACCAACGCTGGCCATACACTTGCAGCGTGACTGCATAATTTTTTTTTTTTTTTTTTTTGCTGTAGCGTGCACAGATTAACCTTCGATAAAGTTAACAGCGTTAACCTTCGAAAAGCTTAACGCTGTTAACTTTTCGCTTTTCGCTTTTCGAAAAGGTTAACGCTAAAATTGTGATCATTACTCGCAATGAGCTAACAGTTGATACCAAGCACGTGTGCTCTATTTTCATACCTACTAATATTAAGTCTTTCTTGTTCGCCGTTTTACTTTTTTTTATATTGTTGGTACAATATAACCTAACCTATTCAAGGCCAGATAAACAATTAAATATGAAGCGTCACTCGAGGTTGGAAGAAACGGTCAAGGATGTGATTCGATTTTGGTAGTAATACCCTATCGGAGGTTGCGCTCCGAGTGCGAACAGCTCTTGACTTCTTGGCTCAGCTACGCGCTGTTGCGACTCACCACACCAAGCCACACTGCATGATTGGCGAAAGGTTTTCATAAAGGCATAAACATTTTGATTCAAAAGGGCTCTTCCGCTAGTAGGAAAAAATACGCTCGAGATAGGAGTGAATGAAAACACGCTATCGAATTCTACATACAGGGTGCTTCAGCCAAGGCGTATAGAAAACTGGTGCGCGTTTGGCGTTGTAGCGATGAAATATTTACACAGCCCTATTAAGCTAGTCAAGGTAATTTTAGGGGTGCGCAAATATTCGTGTTTCGAATTTGAATCGAATAATTATTGCCAAAATAATTTGAATCGTATTTCTAGTGTTTGAAGTTTCGAATATTTCGATACATCGAAAATTCGCAACAGAACTACTGAAGAAAACTCTGGTTCTTCCAGGACCGCTGTTCATGGGATGAAATAGTTTACAGAGACCCGTGTTAGATCCAGGGTGTCGAACCGGAACCGAACCGAACCGAAAACCGAAACCGAACCGGTATTTTTTCCGGAACTGAACCCGAACCCGAACCGTTATATTGTTATCGCGATGAACCCGAACCGAAACTGAACCGGAAAAAAAATAACGGTTACCGGCTCATGGCAAAACGGTTCGGCCACGCGCTGTTGACAATGAATGTGCTATCAATGCCATTTGTTTTTTAAGTGCCGTCAACTGACACACACCTCGCTTACATATTTTTTTTCTCCACTCAGTCTCAGGAATATAAACGCTGCATCCATGAATCTTGACAAACGCTGCATTCATGTATCTTGACATAGGAACCAGTATTGCGCTGGTCGCGGCTTGCACGAAAAAAAAATAAATTAAAAGGCTGTGCAAAAAAAAAAAAAAATTGCGTCACGGGATTTTATTTTTTTAGAATCTCGTAAATCCCAAATGCTGCTGTGTGCTCATTTCATAACACGTTTCTAGAACGTACGAGTTCTTGAAGCTTGCTTCCATCGGAATGGGAGAAGAAAAGGCTGTGGAGTTTGATAATAATGCATCCGGTTTCGTATAGGCACTTAAAAGCTAACATATTTGGGAGACAGCGAACTCTTCTATTTTAATATTTAACCTATTACGTCCTTCCGGCGTTGCGTTCGGTGAAGTGTTTTTCATATTTCGTATCTTGTTTAATGAAAACTTCTTTAAGGGTCTAATTTGAGTTACCGAAGGCTAGTTCAAATAAAGAAAGCTGTATTTTCTTCCCACTGTTCCTTCAATTGCTTACACGCCGAGGTGGCGGGATAGTTAGCGAGGTCTACTTGTAAGTGGGTTTGTAAGGAGGTCGCGGATTTTACAGCTACTGCGTCGGACCCAATTAGATGAAGTCCGAATGCGTAAACGTCGGTGAGGTAACCTCTGAGTGAACATAAAGAAACCATTCCTGGTAGAAATCCCTGAGCCTTACGCCACGATGTATCCCGATTCGTATGTGCTGATTTCAGATGTTTTATTTGTAATTTATTTTGATGTTGCAATTTGTCATTTGTAATTTCCGAACCGGTTCGCAAACCGGTTCAGCGCCCCGAACCGGTTCGCGAACCGGTTCGCGGATCGAATTAATCGAACCGGAACTGAACCGGAACAAAATAAATTTACCTGAACCTGAACCGTAACCGAACCCGTATTTTTTTCGGTTCGACACACTGGTTAGATCAAACTCAAGACTCTATTCACATTTCTTCGATAAATAATCCAGTGTTCGTAGAAAGTGGTTTGCTTCCTCTGTTCCACGAACGAAGCAATCGTGTATCTTGGATGCGTTCGAGAAAACATTTTAACCCCGCGCGTCGCCTTTTAAAATTTAAGTATCGTATGTTGTGCAGCCAGTTCTGTACGATATAAACCTGGTCAGCGATAACAGAACCGATATTTTTCTCAAAGCCGTCGCTCCCCACTGCGCCAAGAGAGTTGCCAGGGCTAGGTAATGCTAGTCGTCACCCGATTCAGGCGGTTCAGTCATAATCGTACAGTCCTCCAGCGCGCTGCTTATGCATACGTGGATGGGTGAACTCAACCGTCAGCTGTGTGTCGCGCTTGTTGTTTATGTGTGGTTATTAATACTGTGCTTTCCCCGGCCGAAGTTCCTGTTATGTGAGGGAGGTTTATTGCGGAGAAGACGCCATGGTAACCGCAATTTCAGTTCCACGTAAAACAAATCCTCAGATGGTGAAAATTAATCTCCAGACCTCCGCTCGCGCGGGCCAGATATCCTTCGTTGGTTTGAGACGTAAAATCCCCAGAATTGCCTTTTAACAGCCTTTCTATTCGTGCTAGCCGCTCTTCCTTCTGTGTACATCCAGGAGAATTAATTCGTATAACACTGTTTCCCAAACTCCACCATCACCCTGCGACCCATCAAACGAAATATACTGGCCATGAGGTTCCGCGCTTGTGATTTGGTGTCGGCTTCGAGAAGTTTTTCTTTGCTTTATTAAAAATATACGTGACTCTGTAGCAAAATAAAAACTTACTCTCCTAAAAAAATGAAAAAGAACTTACCTTTGAGGGGAGGGCGTGTCTGTGTTTTTTTAAGGTTTGACAAAAATTAAATACAAAAGCTAACTTGACGGAAACGACACGATATTGGATGTTTCTCAGCCCGCATTACAACTTTTGGATTGAAACGATGGCGAAAAAAAATATTATTTAAAACGTTAGTTAATCAATACTCAAATTGTTCAGATTGGCTCATTACAAAACACCTTAACTCGCTCCATAGGACCCTGAACAATACCAAGTTGGTTCTACACGCGGAGCGTGAACAAGTATTTTTTCAGTTTTGGCGCAAGTTATAACTGTAACAATTTCAGTCGATGGCCTAGTTGGATAAACATCTCAAAAACAGTTAGGGCAGAAGACAAGGACAAGTAGAAACGTGTGTCCTCTCTTCTACTTTTCTTTCGGGCTAATTATATTTGAGATTCGTTTCAACAAACTCTATAAGCGGTATACTTATAGAGCGACGTACAAAAACAAGCGTGAATGGTGGAGTGACACGTCTCCCAATCATCTTGCCGCTCAACCACCAACTCCTGTATAACGAGATCGTGGTGCTGGGCCGGAGTGGGGCACATTTTGTACACGAGCGCCCCATTAGCGATCGTCTGGGAATCGTGTTCAGTCGTCGGCAGGACGGTTCCCAGCCGAATGGCGACGGAGCACTCCTGGACTCCGTGTCCCGAACTGGCCTCGGGTTTGTGACCCAGAAACTCCAGCACTTCGGCCTTGTTATCTAGCCGGTGTTGATTTAACGGCTGAAAGCGAAAACTTCCATAGATGTGGGGCTTGTGGTGTTCTTCGAGCGTGCCAAATACCATGGCAACCTAATTCGTTCTTTTCGAAAACATAGCTTCAATTACAGTGCTACTTTGCAGTTACGCCTTAGACAGACTTTTTCGCTCTGCTAACAATAAGGAAACATCTATTGCGTTGAATTGGATCATGTGTCTACAAGAAGATACCGAGTGGCTCGCAGCCCTCAGAGTAAATATTTTTAAGTCAAAAAGAATTGTTCTGACTGAGGAAGTGGCATTTTAATTTTGTCGGACGCAGATGTCACTACTTATTTAAAATAATTGTAATCTGATGGGTCGAATACCCATAAACTGTATTAACACTGGATTTTTTTTAGAGCTGTTTCCAAGCGTAGAGCGTCCTGAAATGTACCAAAGATATGACAATTTGACCTGTTTTTAAACCAATGACTGATCTCTGGCTCACTAATGACGCCATATTCCCGAGGCGTTTGTTAGCAGACTTATAGTCTGCTTTTATGTATTCGTGTTACCGAAATACCTCAGTCGCCCAAATTGTGGTTTGCGCACTATAGCCTATGTATCTGCCGCGCCCTAAAACCCCAAATTAAATTAAATTCATATAGTCGGAGGAGTGGAAAACAGGCTGCTTTGTTCATGCATCCCGATTTTATCGGTAGGATTAAGATGTATTTGTGCCATAAACTTTAACTGATGCTTTAAGACCTCAACGACGTCAAGGTGTAACGTTATTTAATTACGCAAAAAAAATCTGGCCATATAGATGTCTCTTTTTAGCGAGTCGTAAATATTCAACCAGTTGTTATGTTGATATAACGAGACCCTTCCATTCCGTAGGTTCGAGCCACGTCATCGAGGACAGACCCGAGGCCGGAGTCGACGGTGGTTCATCCAAAATGAGGTCCTTCTGCGTTTCCGGATTCTCCGAGGCCCTGGACTGGAGGCCCATCCTCTTCCAGGATCCCGACATCGCTCACTGCGCCTGCGCACTGTGTGGGCTTGTGTCCCTCAAAGCCACCAGGCTGTCCTGTGGCCACACGCTCTGCCCCGAGTGCTACGAGGAGTGTTCTCGGCAAGGGAGCACCTGCCCCATTGATGAGGAATCCTTCGGCGACGATGACTGCTACCGAATCGACGTTTCAGTGGGCTTCCTCGCAAAACGTCGGGTGAGCGCTGGTGTCATGTTTGTTGTATGAATATAAGCAACAGGAAGTTAGTGGATATGGACAGACATCATTGCATTGGGAAACTACTTGACCTGTGCTGCGAGAGTGCTGAGCTAGGTTTTTTTGCTATTTATGTCCCAGTGGTAACTACACTGGATTATCCAACCCCTATCTTGGTTTCAACAAACGTGCGAGCAAAACAAATATTACAGCAGCGATAGTCAAGCCATTCCGAGCCTTCATGCTGCGCACGTGTACCCGTGCCAGTGAAAGCTCCGTTCAACTCAGCATCCTCGCACTTTAAGCTACGGCTGTTCCGTATTTCTGATTAAGGGATAGAAATGTGGTTTCTTTCGTTGACATTACACTACGGTGTGGGCTCAAGTTATCTTCCTCAAAATGTTTACTTTTTGAAACACGTTGGCCTGTGCACTTACCTCTTGCCATGCTGCGTGTAACCGGCACATCTTTCGGTTACACGCAGCACATGTTCGGTTGCATGGCTTGCTACCGAAAATGTGCTGCTGTGTGCCATGATGGTACATTTCCTGTAGCATACACTACTTGTTCCGTGATGATGGTGTATGGAACTTATTGTGGCTGCCCATACAACAACAACATGTCCCGTACTAAAGAACTATGGAACATGTTCTGTAGTCCGGTAATACAGTAGATCTTGTGGCAACAAGGTTAGCATGTATGTGTCCCATACTTTGACAGGAATTTTTCTAACAGTGTAGATAGATATTGTTTCACAGGAGTTTTCCCCTAAGTAAACACAAATATATTATCGCATTCAAAGATATATTAAAATATAGATAATAAAGAGACCTTTGTACGCCTTATACGCCCCTTATGCAAGTTATATAAATTTTATGTTCATCGGACAAACATGTAATTTTTTTTTGACAGGGATGTTTTGACTTTTTGCCTATTAGGATTTCTTCCTTTTCACATTTGCATTTGCGGATATTTAAAGTTACGCATGCTTCAAAAACCAGGTTCAGAATAATCTGAGCACTTTTTTTTTCTATCATTCCAATCATAGCGATTTCAAAGTCAAAGCATACGACATATATGCATATCTAGATTCGTCGTAACTACGAAAAAAATATCGCGGTAAGCATAGCTAAAGAATGGCTTTACAGCAATCGAGGAAACCCGAGATCGGCTAATTACACGCCGCATTATTACAAAGCAGGTATGGGTAGATTTGGAATATGCTGCTCTTAAAGGGGCCCTCCGGAGCGTTCTGCGATGGTCTATATATGGCGGTAACTCAATCTATGGGTCCTAAGGATCCTAAAAATCGTAAAATTACAGTCATGCGCGGCGGATTTCCCTGTTAAAATTGCTATCAAAGTCCCCGGCACGCCCCCCTTTCTGAGATGACCCCGGAAAACGGGAGGGGCATCTCTTTACGCATCAGCCAATGGCAATCGAAGGATTCCAGTGTCACTGCGCGTCACCGACCGCCGACCCGCGGAGGAATCTCTCCAACGCGCGGACCGTCGTCAAGGGGCCCGGACCAAAGTTGCCCGGACTTTGTGCTCAGCATTCGTCGTTCGTCGCATCCCACGGTCGCGCTATGGACCTTTCGGACCTAACGTCTCTAGAGCTCGAAATCCTGGAACGGACAGCTGACATGGGTGCCATATCCTACGATTCGACCCCGATGCGCGACGTCGACGAACGCAGCGCCGCGGGCACCGACTGTGGCAACGACGAACGGCCGCGCCGCGGTGAAGCGAGTCCGCAAGAGCTGGAAGACGCACCCGACGATGGAACCGGGCGGCTTGGGAACACGGACTGGTACGTGGTGCGCTCCATTATACCCCGCTTTAATGGGTAATTGATGCGTGTTTTCTGCGAAGGTGTCTATGTGGTTCCTGCGCGCCGATGGAGACCGTCGTCGAGTGCGTCTGCTGCCGCGAATACCCGGCCGTCGCACGGAAGCAGCAGGGCCGGCAGGGCTGCGTAACGGGCCACCCGGACTTCGAGGCCCTGTGCCTCAACCCTGAGGTGTTGAGGTTGGCCTACCTCAACATGCGGCACTACGGGCAGCAAGGGATGGGCGCAAGTGCCAGCGAGTGAGTACGATGTCATGCTTTGCGCGTGAGCAAACTCACCATGTCTCGGTGAGGACCGTGCCCTCGGCAACTACGTTCACTGTCCGATTCACAGCGTACATACGTACTTGTAATAACTTGTTGTTAGGCTAGATGAACGTTTAGCACCATCCTGGGAAGCGGTCGATGAATTGTTTGTGTTGCCGATAGTGAAATTAATCATAACCCCCACTGTCCAGGCGCAATATAGCGCTCCAGGGAGGCTTTCAAGAGACTAAATGAGAAGCAGCCTGCCTAGTTACCACCCAGTCATTTGTTCAATACAGAAACACGGACACTTCCAACTGCTGTCCCACTATAAACTACACATATTCTTATATGTTCTAAACGAACTGTTCTGACGAGACCGCCCTTTTCGAGCGTTACACTTCTTCCCGTTAGGCCAGATCATGGAGAGCTATTTTTCCTTGCATTTACGGTTATCAGTTTAGATATGTCATTTTCTTGCTCTGTTTAGATGCAATGTTATGCAACAATAGCACTATGAAATTTATGACAGTCACATGGCCTCGTCTCTAGTCGAGACGGCCTCGTCTCGTCGAGAGCAATAGAAGGCGACACCTTGGATGTACATATGCTTTGGCGTTGTCCCCATGCCCAATGCTCCCTTACCTCCCTCTTTTTCACCCTTCTCGACCCTCTGACTAGGCAGGCTGGCTCACCCCCCCACCCCAGCTTCAACTCGTTGATACACTACTGCTCCTACTGGTACAGCATGTCCATGCTGTACCGGGTGAGCACTGGTGGCCCCAATCAAGCACCGGACTATGGTGTAACTAATAAAGGTTCCCTCTCTCTCTCTTTCTCTGTCTCTCAAGAGAGCAGTGGATATCCCACACGTTTGGCTTTGGCGCAAACGACAAAGATACGCAGTCCGTGTCAGAAACCCAAGTCTGGCTTGCAGCTTGCTCAAATGGTGTCTCTGAACAGAGCCGAATTAGCGCCTGAAGCCCCTCTACAAGCTCGCAGAGAGCAGGTGGCCGCAAAGGCTTGAAAGTCCTACTTTGTCAACGAGAGGCGAAGATTAACTCACTCCCGAGATTGTATTCGTCTCATGCAGTTTCCTTGCTTTTCTGTCTTAGCATAACTCAACAAAGGGTGAAAGCTACTGCCCTTGTGGGCCAGTCTGAGCGACGGAGCTAAGCACGTGCCAAAATTCCACAGGAGGAGTACTTGAAGACATTACGTTGTCACATGCATTGTTCTTACACGCCCCGATTGGCTTGCTGATGCCGTAGCTTTTGCATTTTCCCAAGTTCGGAAAAACGAAGAATTACTGTTTCCAGATTCTTTCCTGCTAGCTTCATGGACTGGACCAGCACTATGCTACAGAACAACACTTTTGAAGCAACAAATAAATAAGCACGAAGTTATCATATTGACGCAGTAATTCGCAACCGTGTTGGGGAAGGATGCTCCAGTCACTTTGTTTCTCAGAGCTAAGAGTCCAGAAAACTGCATACACCTACTTTATCTTGCATGCACCAATGCCTTGTTGCTATCTTAAAAATGAGCTTAGCTATGCCAGCTAAGTTGATGCTGGGCAATCTTTTTGAGAAGAAACAAACACCAACTGCTTCAAGTGCACTGTCAACGTCGACAGTACAGTTGGCACCTTCAGCTCAGACATCCTCGTTTTTTTACCTGGTCTAGTCTCTGCGTGTGACCTTCAAGCCCATCAAAACAGGGGCCGATATCAAAATGACGAAAATCAAAATGTAAAGGCCAAACATTGAAACGTCGAAAAATAAAATGCCGAACAGCAAAACGCCGAAAGGTGAGAATGCGTACATATCTGATCGCCATATTTGGTACGGTATTGGCAGATGCTAGCTGCACCAGTGTGTTGGAATCATGGAAGTGTCTTCTGCAAAATTAGGAGCATGAAAAATGTGCAAGCTGCGCTCGAAGTCGATATCGAGGCAGAAATCAGATTAGAACCTCGCCATCTACCACACAAGAAGCAAAGCATGCGAGAAGAGAGCCTGACAGCCGCTTTGGGCAACTGGGACAAGCTCAACATCCTTAGCTTTCTTTGGGAAATGCACACAAACTATTAGATCATATTCAACAAACAAAGAATTCCTCTGGCAGAACAAATGTTTCTTCCACTTTCTCAATCTAGAACCCTGTAGGTTCGTGTTGAACATAATATTTTGGAATTGTTTGGTCTCTGGTACCGGGTGATTCGGCTAATAGAGATTTCGGCGGTTTGTTCTTTCAGCATTTCGATAATGCATCCTTTCAATTTTTGGGTGTCCCAAGCGAGTGCAATGTTCTCTGGTCAAAACAATCAAAAACTTGAGAACGATGACATAGGCACAGATTGCTGTTGAGTCCATGGATGCCACTACGTCTTTCCTCTAGAAGGCAAGTGGAGACTTATATTCCAACCCTATCGGCAAAAGTCATATTCTTTACTCCAGTATCCAAATTGTCAGAAGGGGCTTTAGACGGTGTTTGCATGCTTTTTGGTCAAGAAACTACACAAAAAGGCAGTCATTGAAGGCTCATTGCTCTGGTTCGTGCACCGTTTACAATGCAATGGCAATGCGAACTAGAAACCTTCCATTCGCCCAGCGATGCAAAGTATCCCCCCTCCCCCCCCCCCACACACACACACCAGCAATGTAAAACACCCCCCTGAAACAAATTTCTGGCTATGCCACTGCAGGCCATGCACTCAAAAAAAAAAAAAAAATTTCCTCCTTCCCATACTATAATTGTCAAGGCAGTGCAGCCATATGGGGGGCGTACCATACTGATTTACGATTTATTTTTCCGCAGATATTGTCCACTTAGGGGTCGGTAGGTGTGTCGACCTCCTCAACGTAGTCCCCCTGGAGACGAACGCACTGGTTCTAGTAGTGT